AACAACAATCACCAAGTTTATAGGTAAGACTGCTGATTATCTAAGGTGAGCAAAATAAGGGACAAAAAAGTGTAAACTTAAAATTATGAAATAAATTTAATACAGTACAGCGACTAGTTAATAGTATAGTATTGCATATTTGAAAGTTGCTAAGAGGATGTTAACCTGATGTGTGATCATTTCACAGTAGATACAAATATCAAATCATTATGTTATATATCTGAAATTAGTATCAATTATACCTCAATTAAATACATATATAAAATCAGGATTTTAAAACTTCACATCTAAATTTGGAATGATATAAACTGAAATGTAATCTATCACATATAATTAAATTAGCACCTTGGGGTCACCTTAATTATATAAACTGTTGTCCTAAGGGCAGATGAAACTAGGAGATTAGTAGGAGATAAAGAAACTAATCAATCAGTTCTCAACAAGCTAGAAATAGAAGGGAAGTTTCTCAACTTAATAAAGAGCATCTATGGAAAACATAAAGCTAATCTCATACTTAATGGTAACAGACTGAATGTTTCCCCTTAATGTCAGGAACAAAAGAAAGACTTCAGTTATTATAACTTCTGTTCAACGTCACACTGGGGATTTTTCGCCAAGACAGTAAAACAAGAAATAAAGGACATCCAGTCTGAAAAGGAAAGTAGAATCCCAATGGACTCTACAGGGAGGAAAAAGCTCCTAGAACTAGTTAGCAAGCTAGCAAGGTTGGAGGACACAAAAATTTTAAAAATCAGCTGTATATCTCTATATTAGCAATGAACAAAAGGAAAAATTTAAACACTATTTATATAAAAATTTATATAAAAATATGATGAGATGTGAGGCCCTCCCTGGTGGTGCAGCGGGTTAAAGCGCAGCTCTAAGAAGCTAAAAACACTTCCGCACGAGTTCGATCCCCGCCTGCCCCGGAGGTGACCACGTGACCACATGGCGTGGCAGACCTCCCCTCAGCAGTATACTTCATCGATCTGCCTGTTCTGTTCCCCGCTCTGTCTCTGGTGAATCCTCTCACCCTCCGCATCTCTGGCTTGTACCCCAGTTCTGTATGAATAAATAAATCTTTAAAAAAAATATGATGAGATGTGAGATGTAAAAGACCTGTAACTGTCAATCAACATAACAATGCTATCTACAGTTAGGTGAAATTTATCAACCCAATACTTTTAAACATTTTAACGATTATAAATCTTAAAAAACAGATCAAAAACAGATTCTGATGGTGGAAAATATATGCCAGACTCTCTATGCATACTACAACCAAATTATATGCAACTAAAGATAATGACCCCTGGACGATGACCAGATCAGCACTGTATACATGAAGGGGGCAAAACAACTGAGTTTAGGAAAAATGCAATGTGAACACTCCTGAGTAGTGGTAGCCAATAAAGAGAGGGAAAGGTGGGATATGGAGCCTCTCTTTTGGTGACTAAAGGACTCAAGCTCCTGCGAAAACCCTTCAGCTGGGCTAACAAAGAAAGCAAACTATAACAAACATAATAGAAATGAAAAGAGGACAAATATATCTGTCCATGTCACAGGTAACACAGAAATATATAGGATCATCAGAGATTACTATGAACAGCTATATGATAATAAATCTTGACACTCGAAGAAATGAGTAAGTTTTAAAAATACAGTTTACTAAGAATGAACTAAGAAGAAACAGAAAATCTGAATAGACAGAAACTGAAATGGTAATCAAACAACTTCACAAAAACAAATCATATATTATTCCATAATTCTGATAACAAAAATGTTTTTGTGGTAATAAAACAAGGTTAGGATGATTCACTCAGTCCCTGAGAAACTCTAATGGCAACTACCAATAAATAATGCAATTGTTCCTGAGTCACAAATACTCAAAAAAAATTGCTCACAGCACTGACCAAGGTTTTGCAGTTTGGTAGTTATTGCTTTAGTTGGCAATATCTGCATTTAAAACAAAGGGACATTTCCTGCTAAGCCTTATTTTAAAAGTCACAAAATTTATACAGAAGTCAGACTCATAGAAGCTACAATGCTGATGATTTAACTAAATTGCCCATGAAATGGGTGAAGTTTTTAGAAGATATTAAAGTATCGTTTTGTTCTAAAAGTAAATGCCTCTACTTTTCATGGTATTCCCATTCTTTAGTAGGAAAGCTGAGTAGCTTTACACTTTTGCTATAAATACAAACCACTCCTGCTAACCAAAAATGTAAAACGAAACCACGAGTAGACATAGTTTTTCACAGTTAACAATAACTGAAAGTGTAGTAAGTGCTCAAGCTGGGACATAAGCTTAAAACGACATTTAGGTACTGGCACAGGCCACCCGTTAAAGGCTCTCCCAGGTCCTCACATTACTGGGCCTTAGCTGTTTCTGGCAGTGGTGGACTTGCAGGTCCCAGCCACTGCTTCTACCAGCACGTGAAAACTGGTAGGCCTTGATTCTGAGCCAATTCCAATTCTGTTTCCAACTGGCTTAAATATACCTGTACATGTTGCTGTTCATGGAATTCCTCTTCTATTCATGTGTGCCCCTCTGTTCTTTTGTCCTGACAGTCTGAGTTGGGATTACTAAAATTTGGTACCTCTGAATAAACTACACAAAATTCCTCAATTTTTTAAAATTCACCACCTCTTCCAGCATAAAGTGCCAGACATCCTTTCCACATAAATGCACACTTTCTACTCAGCTAAATATCCACTGGCTGTATACGAACTCTTCACCTCTCAAGTGCTTTTATAGATCTTTAACAATGTTCACATTTATTTTTTTCCTACCACCAGCCCTTATGTCCCCATGTCCCTTTCACCCTCTTACTCTTAGGAACCAGTGTTGTTGCTGATGTCTGCTGATATATAATTATTTTCTTTATTAGTTCACCTGCTTCTTTCCTCATATTACTAATTTATGTGAAATTGTCCAATATCTTTATCTTTCTGAATTACTGTGCTATACAGAATTCCTTTGAGCTCCTCAACTTTGCTGTAAATGGTAACACTGCATCTCCTCATAGCTGAATAGATTCTCACTGTGTGTATATACCACATATTCTTTATCCTGTACTAATTTTTTTCACTACAGCAGAATTTTTTTTTTTCTGGTGAGTATTCTTTATCTATTCTTTGCTTTTCTGTTCCTTTTGGACTCTTGAATGGTGGCAGAGGCTTTGAGTTGGCCTTTGCAAAATGTGAGGTTTCCCTGGCCAACTAATTTGTAGGCAATTCATGCGAAAGGCCATAATGGCTCCCATTCTGAACCAGCAACACTTTTTCTTGACTCAGAGTTTTCCATAAGAATTATTTAGGTTTTTACCTCACAAGAGAGAATGGAAACAGGCAGTCTTAAAGTTTTTCAAAACACAAAGGTATTTCCTCCCCTACTGCTACAGGCACAGATAAATGCAAGAATGGCTTGTGTGACCTCTTCTTTGGCTCCGTCTCCCCAACTTCTTTGAATCAAACCAGGTACATTAGCTTCAAGAAATCCATTCTGCTTTTGCAAACACTGGGATTGGGTTTTGTACCTCAGGACATCCTGAAGTGTCTCTTGCTAGATGGCTGTCAGTGCTGCAGCTGTGAATCCCACTCACTGCTTCTTCCCACACACAAGTGTTTATAGCCTCTACTGTGTTAGCAGCTTGGGGTTTTAGCTATGTTCTGAGTTAGTGTAATTAGGGATTTGTGTTTTATTTATTTTTGCTCCTCAGTTTTTTGTTATTAGCTAACTACCAGAAAGTAAACAGAAGAAAATGTCAACTTCCTAGTACCATCTTCAAATCCCAAGAACAGTGAACTCTCTTAAAAGAAAATTTTATACAATAGAAACAATACACCACTTAAAAATAAGATGTGTTGCCCTTATTATTTTACTACTAGGTAAAATAATTTTCCATAAAACACTAATGTTAACAACTGAGCTCAATGTTTAATAAATTAACCACTGAGTTAATATAAAAACTTGTATGGATATTAGCTATCACCTAAGGCAGAAAACCTTATACCTAAATATAAAAATACTTTTCAGAACCAAGGTCTATTTAAGGAACAAATTATAATTTGTCTTAGACAAAGGTTTTTTAGTAATAAGGCAATATATGATCTGTCATTCTATAAGTCCCCAGATTCCATTTGGGTTTGAAATGAAGATAGCTTTATATTATATGTAAGATCATTCCCTAAGCAAAATTTTAACTCTAGTCAAGTTTATTTCCCAGTCAGTTACTATCTTTCTTCTTCTCCAAATTCATTAGGAAGCGTGTTCGGAGCAAAATTATTTTTTAACTAGTAGTTTTATCACTACTAATGTTAATATGCCTACAAAAGCTAATACAAATAAAACCTAATAAACATTTGGAGGCATTGTCAGTTTATCCCGATATAGAGAGAGACAAAAGAGCTTATCCTTAGAGAATTCTAAGTAAGAAGTGAGGATGCTAAATGCTGGAATCTAAAATTTCACCATCTGAAGACCACCATTCTTGGAATAGGGGGATGACACCTACAGTGGGGAAACCTGGAAAACAGCATGTTAAGCAACCAAAGTCCCATCACCAGAAATGGGACAAAGAGACAAGATGTTCTGAAACACAATTTTGTAGAATTCCTGCCCAAAATACACAACCTGAATTGAACCATGAGGATTTACTGGACAAATACAACTGAAGAATACTCTACAAAGTAAATAACTGACCTGTATTCTTTAAAAACGTCAAGGTCATGAAAGAAAGGCTTGAACTATTCAGATTAAAAGAGACTGCAGAGAAATGATAAGTGAATTTAATGAAGGATCATGGACTAGAAAACAATTCCTTCCTTCCTTTCTTTCTTTCTGCCTGTATATAGTAGAGGTGAGTCCACATTCATCTAAGAAAGATACATTATAAATATAGGGGTTAAAGATATCATTTCTGCAATTACTCTGAAACTATCTTATGGAGATAAGACTACTCTGGGTGTATGCAAAGACAGTGATAGAGCAAATATGGCAAATATTAACATTTGGAAATTTTGAGTCAGATCATAAGAATTTTTTTTACTATTTTTACAGTTTTCCTCTAAGTATGACATTATTTAGTAATGAAAAGACAATAAGAAAAGTCAATTAAGAGAAACTTTGTTTCTTAGTAATGTTAAAGTTACCTTTACCACATTACTCCTCAAATAACATTTTAGAACTAGAGGGAAATTTATGATCACTCACCAAAACTTCTCAGTTTGCAAATGGAGACAATAAAGTTAACTCACGTTCAAAATCACAGTTAGTTCAAGGCAAAGCCCTGTTCTCAGTTCTTTCAACTATTGCAAGCTGTCTCTTGATACCTTTACATTGCTATCTACTCCCTAAACACAAAACTCCTCAGTATTAGCTCAGTCTTTGCATGTATTCCATTAAACTAATGTGGCAAACCACTTTCAGGCAATCTAAATTTTATTTTTGGTTCAGTCCCTATGGAAAGCAATATAGAGGTTCCTCAGACATTAAAAATAAATATAGTATATGACCCAGCAAATTCCCTTCCTTGGTATTTATTTTACAAATGCCAAAACCCTTACTCAAAGATATGTATGTGCACTCCTATGTCCACTGCCACACTGTTTATAATAGTCAATTATAGAAACATCCAAAGTACCTCAAAACAAATGAGAAGATCAAGAAGATGCAGTACATGTACATAATAGAATACTACTCAGCTATAAAAATGTGTGTGTGTGTGTGTGTGTGTGTGTGTGTGTGAAAAAATATAAAGGAATAGACACGAGAGGGAGTACTGTGAACTATGGGGACTGACACAGGTGCTTTGGTGATAGGTTTGGTGTAGTAACAACAACTGAAAGGAAAGATTCCATATTTCTAAAACGCAAACAACAATGTAAACCAGTATTATCTAACGTAATAAATGCCAGACTTTGCAGCAAATACCAAAAAATCAAAACCAAAACACTGTAATTATACAACTATCATCACATAACCCCATCTCTTAGGACAGTGTTGGCATAGAACAAATATTCAAAACAATTGTATACTGCCAAGTAAAAGATATTCTATAGTACAGGAAATAAATGTGCTGTGCGTATGAGTACAGCTAATCATAATACTAGTGGTGTTAACAAAGCGCTATGAGACAACAGATACAATGTTAATGCTTGGTGAGATGTGGAAAGGCTTCAAAAACCAATGACAATAAAGCTAAACTGTAAAAGACAAGAAAGTGTAAAAGCACAAGTGTGGATAGGGGATATGAGATAAAAGAGCCTGAGGGCACGAAAAGATTTGGCATTTCTACTGAATTTTTAAACATGGGCTTACCTATTGTTGCTGCAAGTTCTGGATCAAAAGTATCGTCCGTGAACCTCAAGAGCAAGCTAAAAGAGATGTCAAAAAAAAAAAGAAAAGAAAAAAACAAGATTACAAGATTAGGAATTTCATTTTTCTTTCTAATCCTTTGATAAAAAGTATTCATCGTTGTTATATTTTATAACCAATTAGATGCCAATAAAGCAGCTGATTTAGGTCTACACCCAGAAATGCTGCTTTAGTGTGTAAATACAAAGAAAAATTAAATTACTGATGAGGCACTAGGGAACCCCAAGAGCAAAGTAATCTACGAGAAGATATATTCCCCATGCCCTCCTACACAATTACCCAAGTATGAAAAGTCTTGTGGGTTTTGTTTTTTTAATTATAATATGTCCCTCTAAGAAAATGATATTAACATGTCATGCTTAACGTGGACAAAGGGTTGGAAAAACAAGTCTCTGAGAATAAAGCAAGCTAGTTTTTTTAAGTGTAATCCATTTTGGATTCAAGTGAAAAATGAAAGATATAAAAGTCCAGTGTTTATAACAACTAATATGACTTCTCTAAATAGGAAGAAAATATACAGTAAAAAGTGGGAGCCCAGAGAAGGTATATACCACCTAGCCCTGCAAATGATAGGTGGTATATACAAAATCAAGCAGGCAACAGGACATTAGACGGCTTTTAAAGAAAGGAATGGCAAGAACTGCTGTACATTTTGAAAAGTTATTGTCAGCCAAAACAAAATAGTAAAATATAAAGCACTGCCAAAATTAGCATGAGATTACAAAGGACTAAGCCTAGGAAATGATGAAACTAGAAAGGAAGGATGAAATGCAAGCAGCAGACACCAGTCTAGACGAGTACACTGAGATTTTATGTCGCCCAGAATTCTTTAGTATTGGACAGAACTGTCAGTTATTCAAAGCTCTTCAAATATATGTAAGCTTTTCCTAAAGTCCAAGATTTACTATATAATTCAATCTCCCCTACCTTATCTCCTAAAATAGGAAGATAAGAATAAGTGGACACTGTCCACTTACTTATTGGCCATTGACAACCAGGGGTTCTTACATAATTGTTAATCCTTAGACAACCTATATCATTAATGGTGCTGAGGAAAAGAAGGGAATTGGTATGGTGCAGTGCAAGGAATTTTAATACAGGCTCTGAGGATGTCAGCAGATCTTGGCTAGGAGGACAGTAGTAGCTTGCAAAAGTATCTAATTCTTTGCATACATTTCCCTAAGCAGAGTACATTTCTTTATTGGATTCTAAAAGAAACTCAAAATCCTAAAAATGATTAAGAACAAATGCTTTATAATGGGTATATACTTAAAGTCTTCATATTTTCAAGTTAAAATACTCTCCGGGCAGAGCTACAGATGGAAGTATATCACCATTCTACTAGGAGATCAAATTTCTAAGAAACAGACTGTAATTAAAACGAATCCCTATTTCTTAAGTTAGGTATGAAATTGGCCAAAAAGAAAAGAGACAGAAAGGGCCCTGGAGGGATAGCAATTTAAATAACAGGTTTTCTCTAACCGCTTCTGAAACACTCTGCTACTTCAATTCACTAAGGCCAGCCACAGAATCAAAGAGCCTTACTTAATTTTAGTATCAGATAGGGTTTGAGAGATTTCTATTTTACCTTCATTTGACAAAGTGAAAAATGAAGGCCTTCAGTGTTCTTCACACAAGATCACATAAGTGGAAGCATTAATTTCAAAATCCTGATTTCACACATAATTTATTCTCCAACACTCTGAAATTAACTTGAAAAATAACCCACAAGAGCTAAGACTCTTGTGCAATGATTTCTCAATAACACAAGTGATCACTCAATGCCACTAACTCCAGATCTGCAAAAAAACTGTAACCAACTATTGGTTAGAACCCTTTCAGGTTATATTCATGACCTATGCTTTTATACTGATTCAACTTAAAAAGCATATGCTTCTGTCCAAGTGGAATCATTTATTCTCATCTTATCCATAAAGATAAGTGTCAAGGTTGATTGCCACAGCATAACACAAATGTTTGTCTAACTAGAAAAATAAGCCAACTTTTTCACAGATGCAACCCTTTCTGTAAAGAGTATTAAACATGTTCAACTTTTTCAGTGAGCATCTGATAACTCACCACTAAGTATAGAAGAAAAGTTTAGAACAGATTAGATCTACATACCTTTGAGGGAAATGAACTAAGAACAAGAATCACAGTAAAATATTTTACTGTGGCAGAAGAGCCTCAACTAAATCAACACTTCACTTTCAGTTAATCTGAAAAACAAACAAACAAAACCTCTGAGCATTGCTAAGGCAGTCATCTACCCAATACCCTTAGAAAAAGTGTCCTACCATTTATTGGTCTGAATCACAAGAAATGATTTTCAATCAGCTATCTTGACTTCAGAGTCAGCAATCTGATATGCCTTCACCTAAATGAGTGTCACATCTCAATAAACAAAGAGAGGTCACAGGCTAGGGAGTTCTTACAGAGACAATGCTCAGTATATAACTTTTAACCCTCAAAACAAATGGTGATCATTTATTTAGTCCTTTCTCCCTCCTCCCTGGCTCCCCCACCCCCTATCCTTTTGCACTAATGTATTCTTTGTGGAATACAAACCCCTCACTACTGTTCAGAGTACATTAAATGAGAAAACAAATATGAAAATGCATGACCATACTTAAAATATATCTGTAAAATTTCAGAACATAGTTCAAATCCTTAAATCTCTAACCATCCTCACACAGGAAGCAATTTAGCAAGTGACTGAAATAAAAGTGCACCAGGACTAAACTACAAAATATGGTAAGATAAATTCACTTCGATGAAATCATAACCCTCTTCCAAAACCACAAGCTCCAAGCCTCCACCACCTACTCAAGTTCAACTACTGTCAATACTATTTCCTCGCCCCAAGAAAGAAAAAAACAAGTATGTGCTATCTTCCTAAGCTGTGGCAGAATGTCACAATTATTTTTAAAGGTGGCTCACAGCTGGAGGACTACTATCTTCGACTACAGGGATGACTTAAGGAGTTAGAAGACCAAAGACTTCGTTCACAGCTGACTCATAAAAAAACACGCAAGCAGCAGCAACAAAATAAGGCCCGGCCTGTGACCTAAGACGTCGCGCAACTTCCTGTGACCATTCCCGCAGACAAGTCAGCCTAAGCCCCAAAGTGCGAAGTTCTAACTGTGCGTTCACAGG